TCCCTCCTTTAAACACATCACCTAGAGCCCTCAGTAAGATGTAGCACATAGCACCAGAGTAGTCAGTCACAAAATACAACAATGCAACACACACGTGACCACCTACTAGCTGTCCCTTGACTCAAGTTACCTAGAGAAGCCAACTAGGATTAAGCAATGTTCTTCCCAACTCACGGTATGCAAGGGTGCTAGCATCACAGGCCCAAATCTTAAAGTCAGTGGAAGATATTTCATTCTTTGATTCCTTTATAAGGTGTTGTCAGAGTCTTTGGGTTCACCTGGTGTCCCTTTGCCTTTTCCTTTCCTTTCCAGGGGCTTGGGACATGTGGAGAGCCTACTCTGACATGAAAGAAGCCAATTACAAAAATGCAGATAAATACTTCCACGCTCGGGGGAACTATGATGCTGCGCAGAGGGGGCCTGGGGGTGTCTGGGCTGCAGAAGTGATCAGGTATCTTGAGCTCCTGGGAATGCTGGCATGGGTGCCAGGGGTTGCCTGCCTGGGGGATCAGCAGGGACTTGCCCTGAGCAGGTTCCTTTAGGGCCTGGCCCCACCAATGCACACCCTATTCCCCTATCCGTGCCTAGGGCCTGGGCTGCTGGCTGAGCCAGAGCATGGCTGCTGAAGATGTGTGAACCTGCCCCCAGAAAGCACAAGGAAGGGCCATGGAGTGATTCCCAGCCCTCTCCCTCTGGGTGCTGCTCCTCCAGCATAACAGTGCCCAGTCCGGGGTAAGGAGGGCTGAGCCCCTCCTTCCTTCATGTTCCGGGCTCCTCTCAGAGCCCTTGGAAAGGGGAGTATAGGAGGGTGGACTCTTGCTCGCTGGCCTGGTGATTCATCTCCTCCTTGCCTGCCTCCATCACAGTGATGCCAGAGAGAATATCCAGACATGGCTGGGTCACGGAGCAGAGGACTCATTGGATGACCAGGCTGCCAACAAATGGGGGCGGAGTGGCAAAGACCCCAATCACTTCAGACCTAAAGGCCTGCCTGACAAGTACTGAGCTTTCTCTTCTCTCTGCTCTCAGGGACCAGGCTGTGGGCCCCTGTGGGCAGGGACATGGAATTACTGAGTTCTGTGTGCACAGAAGCTGGTAGAGGGCACACAGTAGGGGTCTAATAAACGCTTAAGAGATCGACTGTGTTGAAACTATGTGTTATTCTTTGCAGTAAGGACTGCCTGTTTGACATGAAGGGGTGATCCATGAACACCCATGTTTAGGTGTAGCTGGTGCCCGTGAGTTTGGGTGTCGGGAAGACAATCTCGGGAGTCGCACGGCGCGTACACTGTACCAACCCTTCCCTGAGTCAGACCCACTTCCCTGTCCAGGTCCCTGTGGTTACATTGTTGCTATTTCCAGGCCCTTCCAGGTGCAGGCCCCTCATTCCCTGTCAACCACATCCTATTACCTTGTTTGCTCCTAGGGTCTCAGTTCCTCAGGGGTCTCTGTGTCTCGGTGCACGGCACACAGACATGGGAGGAGTGGACCGTGAAATCCTGCCCCAGGAACTGCCACCTTGATCTCCTCATGGCTCCGCAACACCTACACATCCAAGTATTGACCAATTTCTGTCCATCCCATCTACAAAATGCCTTTAGTCCAGTTTCCCTCCACTCTATTTTCATTGCCTATTGCAAGCCTAAATGAAGGTGTGATGCCACCCTTCTTATGAGTGTTTCCTGGAAGTTTCTGCACCTTCACTAGATCAAAATTGTGGCAGTGGTGGCAGTGAAGAGAGAGCTGGAGAGAGAAAACCCCTTCTACCAGTCAGGTCTGGTCAAGAGACAGAAAGCAGGCAATAATGTGAAAGGAATTGTTACCTGATAGCAGGATTAACTATTAAGGGAAAGGAATAAACGAAGGTGTGAAGCTGAGATTGGGCCCCCACAGGGCTGAGATTTAGATCTTGTTGGCAAGTCCATTTCCCATTGGATGGCAGAGAGTTTGCTGGGTGCCACAGGCCACAGTTGACAAGGAAGAACTGCACTGAGGTGCTGGTGAATCTTAGCAAGGACCTGCCCGGGGTGTAGTGGGACCCTGGGAGTGCAGCTGGGGTTCCTCAGCTTACTCGGAAGTTGTCCACAAGGAGGCAGGAGGTGGGACCCTGCTAAGCTCCCTGGGAAACAGGCTGTGGAAGCCACAGTGCTCTGGACACATTGTGTCTTCTTAAAATTTGTATGTTGAAGCTCCAACTCCCAGTGTGCTGTAGTATTTTGTTGCAGCAGCCTGAGCTGAGTTAAGTGGGGTGCCGGTGAACACCCTGGAAATCCTACTGAGAGGCCACAGACATTGTCAGGAAATTGCCCTGGCCTTGGGAGGCCACTAAAACTCTCTGGGGTGAGAGCTACTGGGCGTCCTACGCAGGAGATGAGAACCGCAGGAGCTGGAAGGAAGCAAAGCACACAGGACCAGGAAAAGATGTCTTTATTCTTGCTTACCCTCCCATTCCCTCCAAGGACAGAGATTAAGGTCATGACCAGCTAGCAAAGGAGAGATGTTTACAGGGTCCAGCCCCAGCATCACAAACAGGGCAAAGAAGGGCAGGTGTGGAGCT